AAGCTGGATTGCCCTCAGCAAGTCACTACCCTTCTCTGCTTTTTCTCTTGCAAAAGGAAGAATGAATCTAGCACCAAGGCACGAGCCTATAGTCCCAGAACTCAAGAGGTTCAGGCAAAGGATAGGCTTGAGCTTAGGAGTCCAAGGCCAGCCTGGGAAACAAATAACAGCTTGTCTTTAAAAATGAAGGATGGAGACTTGGAGGGCTCTGGGATCGTCCTATTCTTACAGGCTTGGATTTCTAATGGATGCAAGTACCTTCATAGGGCCATCACAGTGCAGAAAGAGAATGTGGGTTCTGTCTGGATAAGCCCAGATGTCCCACCACTGCATAGGTAAACACCCACACTTGCTACTGATGTCCAAATAGGCATAGAGATCTTGGGCCAGAGTGGAGTCAAGGTCAATGTCCAAGTAGCCTGATCTGATTGGGTACCATGAGGAGCATCCCCAGTGTGGGTCATGGTAGATTCAGGCAGGGGCAGTCTTGAGCTGCCCCCTAGGAAGATGCCTGGGTCCAGGGAGGGTATCTGAAAGTCAGTGCTCCAACCCAGAGGACTGACTCAGAGCCAGGCTATGGGCTCCACAGGGCCAACAGAGAACAAACAGGAACATCCAGGAAAGGGGAAACAACTGTATCTCAGGGAAATCCCAGGCAGGCCCTCTCCACTGCACAGCAACTGGGGCTGCCAGTGTTTTCCAGGGTTGTGCTCGGACAGGGGATGCAGCATACATCCAGATTGCAGATGGCAGCTGTGGGAAAGGATGTTTCTCATCCTCTTAGATGGGAGCTGGAGACCTGAGCTCAACCTCACGATGGCCACCATGGGGTGGGGATTGGGGAGCGGTAACAGGCTCAACAGGAATTTCTTCACATCTATAATCTGTTTCTAGTAATTATAGACAGGCCAATTCTGCCCTCTAGGTCTAGCCTGCCCAGCCCCTCCTCATTACCAGCAAGAGGATAGGGCCAGAAGAAGGTTCCAGGACATTCAAAGAACTGGCCAGCTGAGTCCAGGAGACAGACATTGTTTTGCTTGAAGAAACTCCCGCAGGGCTGGGAAGGTGGCTCAGTGGTAGAGTGCTTGCCTTGCATGCATGAGGCCCTGGGTTCGATTCCTCAGCACCACATAAGCAAAAAGAAAAAAGTCGGAAGTGGCGCTGTGGCTCAAGTGGTAGAGTGCTAGCCTTGAGCTGAAGAGCTGAGGGACAGCGCCCAGGGCCAGAGTTCAGGCCCCATGACCAGACCCCCCCCCAAAAAAAAAGAAACTCCTGCAATGTGGAGGGCTGCTGCAGAGCACAGTTTGCAAGAACAGAGTTGGTGTTTTGCAACATGCCAAATGCACTCAGCAGCAGTTAACTCTGCAGGTGATGAATACCACAGCTCATTAAAGTCCAAGAAAGCAGGCCTGAGAACAACAAGCTGCTAACAGGAACAAAGTTGGCTTCTGCTTGGACCTGCTGTGTCCAGCACAGCATCAGCCTATTCCAGATCTTCATGGTCACCAACAAGATAGACTAACCCTAGTATAAGACAACTGAGTTCAGTCACTAGAAGACCAGAGCATAGAGAGCAAAGTTTGGGGGGTTCTAGGAAGCCTCCCTGGTCCAGTTCAAATATAATCTAACAGATCATTGCTTTGGACTGTCCCTGAATGGGAAATCCTGATCCTAATGCTGCTGCTCACACTAACATCAAGTTTACCAAATTCTTTGGGAGTATAGACTGGATAGATTTGAAAAAGAAATCAATATTTTCTGTTGCCTGAAAGGGGCAACAGCCTTCACTTCTTCAATCTCATCCCAGAGCTACACCTGGAGAATCTCTGATTTCAGAACCAGAGTGGAAGCTGTTTGGTTGTCTCTGGGCAACCCTACGGGGTGGGGAACATGCAGCCCTGGGGCCATAGAAGGCCTGAGGTATAATTTAGTACAGATGAGGCAGACACATCTGCTTCTCAGTGGCTTCCCACAGCCTGTTTGCCTGTATTGATCATTTTGTTTGGCCCACACATGATGTTGTAAATATCTAAATGGCCTGTGGCAGAACAAAAACCTTCCTCACCCTCAAGAGTCAGAGATGGATCGAACCCCAGTCTCTGGATTCTGACAACCCCTGGCCAAATGTTTAAAGACCCATGGCTGACACACGGCCACTCACTCACAAGTATTCAGATTGTCTTTATTAAAAATCTTTTTTTTTCCTTTTGTAAAAACAATTTGCAATCAGTTTACAGATCAGGAAAACGGGTGGCAATTTATGACAAATTCCAACACTTTACAAGTTCAGACTTAACTAGTATTTTTTTGTTTTTTACTTTTCTCATAACCTTACAAAAAAAAAATCTGGTCCAGTTCAAGTATAATCTAACAGATCACTGCCTCGGACCGTCCAAGAATGAGAAATCCTGACACTAATGGCTGCTGCTCACACCAACGTTGAGTTTACCAAATTCTCTGGGAGTATAGACTGGATAGATTTTAATACAGGTGTTTAAAATGAAAAGGAAATGACACAGCCTTCTGTTATAGTAACTCTGGGTACCCATGACTTTACTGTATAAGGTACCAACTGCTCTTGAGCAACTTTTTTGGGGAGATGCTTCGAAATAGCTGACAAAACTGAAAAAAAATGCTTTAAAAAAGAAATCAATATTTTCTGGGTTGTGTTTAATACTGCACTGTATGTGAGACACACATAGGAATACAAAGTGCAAATCATGAGGTTGTGAAGGGTCATGCCAATGGAATTATATAAAAATAAATATATATAAATATATATATGTACACATATACACACAGATATAGAATCTCAGATGAATTTTAAATGGAGGTTCACCAGAAAGCAGCCTCCTTTATCTCCCTCTTTGAGGGACTATGTCTGCTCTGGTTGTCCAGTTAAAGGCTACCAGTAAGGGCACCATTACTTTGCTTGGGAACTGGGCCATCTGGGTTTCCATGGAGACACTGCTGGGTGGGGTGGGGGGGGCATGGGAGAGGCGATATGATCTGTTCCCACTTTGCTGAGGACTAAAGCTTCCGGCCTCTCTGATAATGGACAATTTCAGCCTCTGATGGAGAGGGCAGGATTTCCCCAGCAAGACCGAGTAAGGAGGCCAAACTGCCATTTCCAGAATTGTCTCCAATGGTAATAAAGACACCAAGATCAAATTTTTCTAAGAAATAGAAGAAAGGAGACTTAGCTGGTGACCAGAATGTTGGGTTAAAACTTATAGGGTCCTCCATGGGGAGAGCCGAGGCTGGGTCATGATCTTCAGCGTCTTCTCTTTGAGATACAACCTTTCTGAAACCCTCTTACAATCTGCTGTGGGCTCAGGGGTCTTGCTTCTCCCAACCTTTCTTTGTGACACTTGTCCAAACTGACCTGTCTTCATCTCCACAACTTGCTTTAACTCTTCTCTCTTGCAGGGTCTTGTCAGTTCTCTCCTCCTTGCTAGGGACCATGTACCTCAGGATATTCCTTCTGTACCTCAGTTTCCTCAGTGAAAAAAATGTCAGTGTTGATCTAGATAGTCTGTCTTTCTTCCATGAGTGAAGAAGTGCAATATAAGCAGGGGGAAAAAAAAACCAATAACAAACCCACACGGTCCCTGCCCAGTCTACATGGCTGTGCTTAGAAACCACAGGTAGCTTTCAGGGGAGAGCTATCCACCTCCATCGGTTTAGTTCCCACAGCCTAAGTCATGGCCACCTTCAAGGAAGTATCTCAGCCCCCGTCTGACCTTCCTGGGCCCACTTCATTGCTTTAGCAGAGCCTATGTCTGCTGGCACCTTTGTTCCAAACTCGTCCCATGGAATATCAACCTGAGGCCCCTAGAGCCCGTGTGGGGTCTGAAGGTACCTGCCTCATGGGGAATAAGGATTCTGTTCTTTATATCATTTGACATCGATGTCTGCACATGTGGTCAGCCAGGGCGGCCCTCCATCCTCTGTGTGGTTGGAAAATGCCCACCTTCTCAAATGTCACTTCTCTCAACCCCACAGGCTCCTCTTCACTTCGTTCCCCTGCCCTCCCCCCCCCCGCCCACACACACACTGAGAGGGATCGTTCTGAAACCCTCCCACTGTGAGTTCTACTGTACCCCAGCCTAGGGACATCAAGGGTGAGGCTAGGTCAGATGTGGTTACAGTTCCTTGTGACGCAGTCTCTCGGGTCAATGTCTTGCATTCACCCTCGGCCCGCACCCGTGGCTGCTCTGGTTAGAGGAAGAAGTCATTGCTCTTCTCAATTTTATGTAAAGTGAATATACCAAAATCACTGCTCTGAATAGAACAAAGCCTGATACCTCCTGAAATCAAGAGGAAGAAAGGACTGTGGGAAAGCATTTATCAGAACTTCCACCATGAAATAGTCTTTCTTTCTTTTTTTTCCTCCTCTCCACAAGATTAATTTGATAACTGAGAGGATGAAGGAGTTATTTTAAAACAGGGGCTCTTTGGCTGGAGATATGGCTCAGTGATAGACTGTATGGGAGCTTGTTCAGGGATCTAGGTTCAGTGCGTAGCACTATCAAAAAATAAAAGAAACAAATGAAAGAAAAAAGGACAAAAAGGAGAGGTCTGAAAGGTGGGGTACCACTGGAGGAAGCTATTAAGGAAGCTATTCCTGCCTCTGCCAGTGTATTCTCTTTGATGGACCTTCTCAGGACTACAGGATCTGGCTCAGCTCCCCAGTGCACGACGTCCAGGGGGCACACAGACACTGTGCTGCTTCCTGTCTACTGCGTAGCTCTCCACACCCAGGGCTTTCCGTCAAACATTTCCTTATATGACTCAGCCAGGCCTGGCCTGCTATATCTCATCAAGAACTTAAACACTGTGAAAATCCCTGAGAAGTTGGATTTTATGAAATGAAACCGATCCATGGCACAGAAGGCAGGAGAGGGGGGAGGGTACAAGAAGAGAGGAGAACAAATTCAAAGATTATAGGAGGAAAAAAAAAACCACAAAAAAAACCCCAAAATCAAGTTCCAGGGAACTAAAGTTGGGGACCTTCATTCAGCTGAACGTGCCAGGGTGACTTGACTCCTGGAGATACTTCAGGGGTATTTGAAAGTCTCTGGGAACAAACCCAAGCACTGCGCCCTGCCTGGATTTTCTAGTTCTGTCCCTGGGGCTGGATGGGCCCCCACCTCAGCAGGCTTCCTCTCTACCTCCCAGTGACAGCAGGGACAGCAGCATCAGAGCTTTTTCCTTTCAAAATGTGGCACAATTCCGCTGTTCTCCAGCCTGGGGCTGCGGGCCCCCTCGGATTCCTTCAGACCCTCCTCGGCTAGCTGGGACAAGTACTTCTGTAGTGAAAAGAGGAACAAAGAAAGCAGAGAGATGTCAGTGGTGGCCTGGTGGGTAAGGAGAGCCATGGGGGATGCCTGAGTCCCCTCTCCTAATGCCTGCGACCAGTGGGTGGGCACTCTCTACAGTCCTGGGGCTTCAGGACTCCATTAAATTAGTTTACAGATAATATGGGTCTCTTGTAAAAAACAAATAACATACAGAGGGCTCACAATAGCAACTACCTCCCCTCCCCCTTATTGGGCACAAAGCTCTTCTTTAAGCTCCTGACTTACATAAGTTTAAGACAACTCTACCTGTGTTCCAGAAAGAGCTTGGTCTCTAGGCAGCATGTCCATGTGTAAAGGGCAGAGGGAGAGAGGCTGGAGGGCAGAAGGCCAGCACCAGCCCAGGGGGACATCAGAGGCCGTTGGAGCGGGGTCCTAGAGGCCCCTCCAGGAGTGAAAAGTGGGCCCGTCCCCTATACAATTGGAAGCTGTCTCCACAACTCACACACACTGGTGGCTCAGGCTGGCCCCAGGGTATCTGGTGTCAACACCCTGAGAGGGGACTAGGAAAGGCCTGGGCCCCAACTGGGGTCCTCGGCTTGTCAGGGCCACAGGCAACAGAGCCGGAGTCCGAAGGGTTAGGTCCAGCCCAGTTGTTACGTGTACAAGCCCTGCTACCAGCTGACCTGGGTTCGAATCCCAGCAGTAAGTGAACTGAATAACCCTGGCCACCTGTGGAAGAAGGTGCCAGTGGAGCCCTGCGGGGCACTGCTGAGAAGCTGACAGCAAGCCGCTCAGAGCCTGGGGCACAGACCCTGGCACAGAACAAACACTTGGGGAATGGGGGTCTTTCTCAGAAGCGATGCCAGCCCTAGGCAGTGGAGGGAAGCCTCCCAACTTCTCTCAGCCTCCATTTTCGAATCTGTTCAATGGGGTCGAGCATGCCTTCCTCACCCCTTCCAGGATGAGGTTGTGGGAGGCTTTCAGGTGGGAGCAGCAAACTGGGAGAGGGGCCATGAGGATGTCTTGGGGCGAGGCTGCTGGGGGGAGGGCAGTGTGGCCTCTGCCTCTCGACTCAGGCAGGAGGGGAGAGCCAGTAGATGAGCATTTGCTCTCCACCACCTACAACCAGGCAGGAGTCTACTTTCCTGTCTGGCTGTGCTTGCACCTGCTGTTCCAGATCACCCCGGGTGGGCTAGCAGCACCTTGGCCACAAGCAGCCAGGCACAGCAGGGGTTGCACGGAGAGTCTGGAGAGGGGCCTTCCGTCCGCTCTGCCTGCCAGGGTATCCTGACTCCCACCTCGGGGCCTCCTGGTGGGTGCTAACTTTACAAGTTGCCTGACTGTGGAGTCAGCCAGCACCTGCTGCTTGGGCTGAATTCCTCGCTTTTCACACGTGCAGTGTGGATGGAATGAGTGAGGCTGTGTGGACAGAGCTGTTCTGTCAGGGCCACCGACAGAAACCCTATCTGAGAATCCCGGGGTGGAGGCTCCTGGCTCCCCAACAGGTGTGTGAGGGAAACTTGACCTGGGCCTGGCTAGTGTGAGGGGCTTAGGCAATGTCTACACCTGATGTGGCTGGAGATCACAGGAGCGGTGCTGGGTACTGGCTGGCTGTGAGGAGGGCACTCGGTCTGGGATTTGGTCCAGAGGACCAGAGCACAGTGCAGGACACAGCCCTGGAAAACAGACTGCTCTGGCGAGTCAGAACTCTTCCTGACCCTTGGAGTGGCGGTGACCTTGGTCTCCTTGGGGGCTGTACAATTTCACTAAGAATGCTGGGAAAGAGAAAAGAGGGTCTCAATGAAGTACTAGAACTTGTTTAAATACAGGTTCTTGGGCCCAGTCTAGAGAGAATAAGTTTATGGATGGATTGTGGGGGGGGGGGGGGGGTGTGGGGGGAGGATGGGAAGGGGGGAGGGGTTGTATCCGGGAAGCTGTTTCTTTTGTTGTTTGTTTGTTTGTTTTGTTTTTTTAATGCGGCTGGGACAAAGCCAGTGATGAGTTAGGATTCCTTCCAGCTTGTTCTTCTATAGGCGATGATGTCTTCAGGCCAAACAGTTGTCCTCAGCTGGCTCTGTGGATCTCAGTCTGAACCCCTTGTTTCGGCCAAGTCAGACCTTCATCCCCCCCCCCTACCCCCGCCCGCCCCCGAGGGCCTGTGGTTGCCAGGGTCACAGAACAGCTGTTCTCTAGAGGGAAATCTAGACGCTTAAATGACCTGAGTTTGGAAGCAGGCAGTGATAGCCTCTTACAAACAGTGACCCCGGCCATGTCATTATGGGTCTCAGTTTCCAAGACCAGCTTAGTGGAGTAAAAAGAGGCAAGTGATTAAGAATCAGGTGATCTGATCTGAGGCCGAGTAACTTACTATCTGCCTGGCCTTGGACCAATCAAACTGCTCTTCTCTGAGCCTCAGTTTCCTCAGTTATAAAACAAGAGAGTTTGTAAATTGATATGACAAATTGAAACCACTTTGTACAACCACTTAAAGACAAATTGCTGTTTAAATTTAAGAAAAAAAGTTAAATAAGAGAGTCATCCCATGTTTGAGTTTCTCAATTAGGGGTACACATTATAATCATGTAGAGAACTTTTCAAATTACATATTCTTACCCTCCCCACTCTACTAAGTATTTGACATGGTACATGTACTTCCAGAATGCTGAACAAGTATTTGTTCACATTCCTGGTTTAAACAACTCAAATAGTCACTCTAACAATTTAATTATAACATCAATGTCTGGCCTGCAATTGGGGCATAGACATCACAGAGACTTGTTGAGTTGATCCATAGGATCAACATCTGGTTTGATTTTTATGTTTCCCCCTGGGCGTCTGATCTACCTGTCCCTGTTAAGTTGCCTGTACCAGAAGTTAACCATGAAAACCATATTCTAACATACATTTTACAATTGATGGCACCTACTTTTCATTTCCAGAATTCGTTATCAAAAAATAGTGTCAGCCGGGCACCGGTGGCTCACACCTGTAATCCTAGCTACTCAGGAGGGTGAGATCTGAGGATTGTGGTTCAAAGCCAGCCTGGGCAGGAAATGCCATGAAACTCTTATCTCCAATAAAACTACCAAAAAATTGGATGTAGCACTGTGGCTCAAGGGGTAGAGTGCTAGCCTTGAGCTGAAGAGCTGAGGGACAGAGCTCAGGCCCAGAGTTCAAGCCCCATGACCAACCCCACCTCAAAAGAATAGTATCATAGGTTGGAAATGTGGCTTAGGGGGAGAATGTATGTGTTTGGTATGCTTGACTTTAATCCCAAGTGTGCCAAACATTAATAAAAATGAATATCCATTTATGAATGATGGCAACATAGATTAGATGAATATGGTATACAACATTTTTTTTTTTTCCTGATCCTGAGGCCCTGAATTCAGGGCCTGGATACTGTCCCTGAGGCTCTTAGTGCTCAAGGCTAACACTCAGGCCACAGTGCCACTTCCAGCTTTTTCTGAGTAGTTTGTTGGAGAGAAGAGTCTCATGGACTTTTCTGTCTGGATGGCTTTGAACCAAGACCCTGAGCCCACCAACAACGTATTTTTGTATGTGATGTTTTATTATACCAAGCTACTTTATTATTTTATTTATTGCTTGTCTCCTATATTAGAATGGAAGCTAGAGTCACAGGCAAGTAAGACACCAGACTCTAACTACATGCCTGGGGAGCCATGCAGGGTCAGCACATTTAGGTCCACCCAAGTGAGGAAGGCTGACAGTTACCTGTAAGTTCCTGTAGTGGACAGCACTGCGACAATGGCTCACCTTCGCCGCCTCCTCACTGGTGTAGAACAGCCCACAGAGCTTGCAATAAAACCCAGTCCTGGGAACCACGAACTCCACACCTGGGGGGAGGAGGGATGAACAGGCAGTGTTACAGAGGCAGTGGGAGGCCCCTGTGGTCCAACCAGCCAGCAGAAGAGTTCCATCCCTCCCTGGCTGTTGACTTTGGCTAGGACCTAGCTTCTCCAAGCCTTACCTCAGTCTCCTCCTTTGCACAACAGTCACAGAGATCAGTGGCTGCTTCATTCACAGGGGTGATTAGGAATGTAAAGGCTGTGCTCCGAGAGCAGGGCGGTGAGCACTTCATAATTAGATGTTCTGCCATCAGAAAACAATTCGAATCTTGTTTGGAAACCCAGGTCCAGGCTCTCCTACCTCAACCTCAACTTCCGGGAAGAGGAGAAAAGTCAGGGCTTTCTTGTCCACCTGTCTTTGGGTTCCATTTCTCCATATCGTACCCCTCTCCGCAGTTTCGGTGATTCAGATTCTGGAAGCATTCTCTGATTTATTTTACAATTTCTTTCAGTAAAATAAAACTTGAAACTACATAAAATTGAGGAGAAAAAAAAAAAAACCACCCAGAGCCACTGTAATCCAAATACTTCCTTCCACAGAATATCTTGTGGGGCTCTCCCTATTTCTTGGCCGTTTTACGCATACCTTGAATGCTATTCCGTGTCTTTCCTTTTCCAGGTGATGATGCAGCACCCACGTGTCCCCGTCATCCTGCCCCCTGTATCTCTGGCCCGTCACTTAGTAGCATTTCCCTTATGATCTAGTAAATGTAACTCAGACTTCTAGGCCATTCTGATTCCAGGAGAGAGAAACAAGGCCTTCCGGTCACAGCGAGTTGGTGGTGACACAAAGCAGAGAGGAGAATTCATATCTGAAGCCACGGTGGCCAGGCCAGCCTCCACCAAGGTGTTTGGAAGGTTGGCTTAGGAAAGAGCCTGGTCCTGAGAGGGTGTAGGTCAGATGCTAAGAACCTATATGATCTGGGAGTGACCCTCCAATGCACCCCCACCCCAGGATTTTCTTGCCTGAAAAATGGAGATACAAAGAACAAGTTCTCTGTATACAAGGTAGCTGGAAGTGATAAGAGAGGAGGGTGTGAGGGCTATGGAAGCCGGGCTGCCCTGGAGCTAAACCAGGGGAGTAAGGCTGGGATGCCCAGATCCCTCTTGCAAGTGGGGGGCATGCCCCGCATGGGTGTAGAGCACATTGGCTGGGTGGGGCTGCTCCCCTCTCCTGCAAGAGTAGGGGTGCGGGAACTCCTTGAAGGGCCTCTACCACAGAGGGAGGGCCCTGAGCTAGCCTGGGACCAAAGTCCTGGCTTCCGTCTCACCAGGAGCTTCATGCTTAGGCAACCCTGTCACGAGAAGCAGCCTAAACTTGTAATTAAAAGTTGGATGGCTTCACTCTTTGCTGGGCCTCAGTGGCTCACGCCTGTAATCCTAGCTACTCAGGAGGCTGAGATCTGAGGATCAGGGTTCAAAGCCAACCCAAGCAGGAAAGTCCCTGAGATTCTTATCTCCAATTAATCACCAGAAAACCAGAAGTGGCACTGTGGCTCAAAGAGATAAAGAGTACTAACCTTGTGTGAACGAGCTCAGGGACAGTGCCCAGGCCCTGAGTTCAAGCCTCATGACAAATACACACACACACACACACACACACACACACACACACACACACACACACACACTAATATGAAGAGGGATCTCTGAGGGAGGAACAGAGGTGGCCAGGAGGCCTGCCTGCAGCTACACCGCTGCACTGCGGTTTATGCCTTAAGTGCCACAGAACCTCCAGCAGTCCCCCAAAGTGAAAGTGTCTCACCCAGCAGAGGGGACCAGAGGGAGCAGAATGCCCTCCTCCTTCTCCCCCTCCTCCCACCTGAATCAGCTAGGTTGACTCACTTCCGACACAGGTTCAGTCCCCTTTCTCACTGTTCCACAGGGAGCCCAGGCTACAACAACAACAAAAAAGCTCTGCAACTGAGCCCACCCACCAGAGAGAGGCGGGTGACTGAAGCCACATCCTCTCTCCTATACCAGACCCCGTAGTGTGAGAGCCCCAGAAGCTGAGCCGTAAGACAGGAAAGGACTGGGAGATTGGAAGGCCTTCTCTCAACATACTCTCAGAGTGCTGAGAGTTTCCTGAAAACCTCAATCAGTCCTGGCTCGATAGGAATTCAGTTTTCTATCCTGGGTGTAGGCAATTCCACCCCAAACTTTCTGGGAGCTTGGGGGATAGACAAAAGCCTATGCAAATGGTAAGTCATTTACAGCTTACCTCCACTTCCTAAGATAAGGAAGCCATTTATCACGAGAATAAGATTGTATCCCATGATTGGTGCTGGTGACTTCAAGGATATTGATTAAGATTGTATCACATGATTGGTGCTGGTGACTTCCAGAATAGTGATATCTGACTTTCTGTACTCTACTCAATAAATACTTGGAAAATGGACCTTGGGCACCTGAAGCTGGAGAAAGGCTTCAGGCACCTGGTGCCCTAACCTCAAGTCCATGGTCCGGTGTCCGTTACTGCCTTGTCCCGGTGGCACTGGGTTGCAACACTGTAGGGTCAGCCAACTGATGGCACCAGGAATAAAACCCTGGGGTTTCCACTATCCTCCCAGACAAGGCCTCTTGGTCCCTGACCTGGGATCTCCCAACCACTCATGGGGCACAGCTGCCTTAGGGGCTTCCACAATACAGGAAGCAGAGGCTGAGATTGGAATTGTGGCCCTTTAGGACTAGAGCAGTTTAGTTCCCATTGATGGGCTTCAGGGAGAGATTTTACATGAGTAAAGATCCCTGTTTCCATAACCAAAAGCTTGGGAAGCCAGGTGCTCAAGTCTTATGCCAGTAATCCTAGCTACTCAGGAGGCTGAGATCTGAGGATCATGCTTATCTAAAGATCATGGTTGGAAGTGGCGCTGTAGCTCAAGTGGTAGAGCGCTTGCCTTGAGCTGAAGAGCTGAGGGACAGAGCCCAGGCCCAGAGTTCAAGCCCCACGACCGACAAAAAAAAAAAAAGATCATGGTTATCTAAGGATCATGGTTCAAAGCCAGCCTCAAATAACCACCAGAAACCCAGAAACGAAGTTGTGGTTCAAAGTGGTAGAATGCTACCCTTGAGCAAAAAAGAGCTCAGGAAAAATGCCCAGGCTCTGAGTTAAAAAAAAAAAAAAAGCTTGGAAACCATGAGATACAGAAAAAATGGAACTTTAGGGTCAGCTATGTCTAGTGCTTGTATTTATAAGCTGTGTGGCTTCAGGCTTATCACATACCCTCTCTGAGTTTAGTTTCCTCAGCTGTAAAGAGAAATAATCTCACAAAAGCAGCTTTTAGAGGAAGCACTTCTTGCATTTGTCATTTTGTGTGTGTTTTCAAAAAATTTTTGTTTGGAAACCCATGTTTAATATGTCTTGACAGAAGCCAAGTGTGGGAGTGCTGGCTTTCTCTGCCTGCCGATCTCTCTCCAAGGCTGCCCCCAGAGAACCAGCTCCAACCTTTGGCAGCAAATCCAACCCCCCCCCCCCAGTATCAGAAAATAAAAGCTTTGGGGAAAGAGAAGCAAGGGCAAGAAAATGCGTGAGCAGCTCTTAACCCACACCAGAATACCTAGGGTTTGCTTCAGGCAGCTATGCCCACAACAGGGGTTTGGGGATGCCTCTAGAATGTGGGGACCTGGTTGGTGGCAGCATCCAGAATCACCATACCAGTCTTAATGAGGCCAGAGGCCCTCTCGTTTTCCAGCTTGTATTAAGTACAATCATTACAGCTGCATTTGCCTACTAATAATAGCTCCTGGCCTGGGTAATTATGACTCTGTCATCCTAGTAAAGCCTGGGTGGGTAGGGGCGGGGGGTGAGGATGGGGTGCACTCACTTTTTGCCAGCGAGGCTGTTTGGTTCTGGTAGGAGCAGGCCTTGGCAGGTTAGTGTTGGCTAGGGTCACACAGAGCTGGCCTGGGTCACATGGGCAGTGCCCTTCCCCGGCCAGGCCCATTCCTAGTCCCCGAAAACAAGACTGGTATCCCTTTTCTCAGAGTGAGGAGCCCAATCCTTAGCACCCGATTTTACCTCCCTACTCTTCACAGGGACAAAGCCAGAATATGGTCTCTGCCTCCTTGAAATCTGTCGGTAGGAAGCATGAAAGCCATGGTGATAAGAAGCATCTAGGCCTCAGTAAATAATCTGAGAATGACCAGTAACAACAGACAACCCTCAGGAAGTACTCGTGACCGGAAGTCACCACGACTTCAGCACACACATTCATTCTATCCTCAATAACTCTTCTGGGTAGGATTCTGTTACTCTCCCTGCCTTGTAGCAGACACGAGATTTGAATCCATGGACTGAAGCCACAGCCTGTGCTCTTAACTTCGGCACTTTGGCACAAGAATTGTCTTTCTTGTGCTATGCTTCCATCTGAATTCAGCAGAGTGGTCAGAGACCAATCTGACAGTGATCTTGAGAAAGTCTCTGGGCTTGAATTTGCTCACCTGGTAAACACAGGATAGAGCGGCACAGAGCACAGATTTTTCTTCCCAAGGGACCAATGAGCCAACAGTTCTCTGCCATAACTGAAGACAAGCTGATTTCAGTTCAAACTGTAAACTACCTAAATGTCCCTCCGCAGGTAGATGACAGAATATGTGCTTCCCCACCCACACAGTGAAGTACTAACAGTCAAAAGAAGCAGACCATGCCTCTCAGTGAATGCTAAGCAGAAGTCAGGCAAAACCAGCACTACAGGATTCCCTTGCATATAAGACACTAGAAAACACAGTGACAGAAAGACATCAGTGGCTACCTGGAGACTGAAGTGGAGAAAAGGAATCTGAGGAAACTGGGAAAGGGGCAATGAGCAAGGCTCACCATCTTGACGACCACTGCCGTCTTACAAAGATACACACACACACATCAACACTGAACAAACGGCCCCTTTTAACTATGTGCACTCCAGGCTGGGAAGGTGGCCTAGTGGTAGAGTGCTTCACTAGCATGCATGAAGCCCTAGGTTCCATTCCTCAGTACCACATACACAGAAAAAGCTAGAAGTGGCTCTGTGGCTCAAATGGTGGAGAACTAGCCTTCCGCAAAAGGGCAGTGCCCGGGTCCTGAGGTCAAGCCCCAGGACTGGCAAAAATTTAAAAAAAAAACACACACATGCATTTTATCATCAGATGGCTATGCCTTAGTGACACTGCTTAAAAAGCCAAAATGAGATGCCATTTTCCTCCTAACAGGTTGGCAAAGATGAAAATCCGATATCCTAAGTTGGCAAGGAGGTGAGGAATGGGAACTCCCTCTCAGTGAATAGCAGTGAGGACTGGTAACATCATTTTGGAGTGCAATTTAGAAGCAATTATAAAGATTAAAAAATGCAAATATATACAGTCCTGCAATACCGCCTCCCCCCGCCCCCAACCTGGCTAGCATCCTGTCTCACCAACACGCAATGGGAACTTACTAGACAAGCACCTGGGGAAGGAGCAGGGGACAGGGTGAGGACTGACTACCAGAATTTAAACCCAGACTCTAGTCTTTGGCAATCATTTGCTTGTGACTCTGCATCTCAGGTTTCTTTTCTGAAAAGCTGCCTGGTGCTGAGTGATAGTAAATGACAGTTCATCTGGTATGGCATTTTCATAATGGAAAAGACAAATCAAGCTAACAACCTAAATCCTCACCAGGCGAGGAAAGGATCAACAAGTGTGGGTACAGGGTTTATGATGGGATATTTGCAGTGGTTGAAAGAGAATGTATTCTCTGTGGGCTGACACAGTGAGCTCTTAAGAGTAGCCGTTAAGAAAGAAGTACTTACAGAAAATTAAAAATTAAAAGAAAAAAAGGTTCATCACAACAATATTCAGAGTGTGATCTTATTATTATTATTTTTTTTGGAGGAGAGAAGCTCTCCCACATGACATGACAATGGCCATCTCTGGAGGCTGGGGTGGAGAGACAGAAGAGGTAAGACCTTCATTGAGTGTCTGTTTTTATTTGCACCTGGACTGAGGCCTAACTTAGAACCTTGCATTCTTGCTTGGCTTTTTCACTCAAGGCTGGTGTTCTACCACTATACATACCTCCACTCCCAGTTTTTTTCTGGTTAATTGGAATAAGAATCTCTTGAATTTTTCAGTTCCTGCTGGCTTCATATTGTGATTCTCAGACTTCAGTGCCCGTGGTAGCTAGGATTACAGGTGTGAGTCACTAGCATCTGGCAATGACACCTTTCATATTGACTTTATATGACTCTTACTTTCTAAAGATTTCTTACAGTAATCTTTGACACTTTCTGTAATGGAACACAATACAAAAAGTCACAAATTACAAAGAAGCGGATTTCACTCTTAATTTCTGCTGTGTCAATTAGATTCCAGGTTTTTGGAAGGCTGATACTTGTGTTATTATACTCTGCATTCTACCAGAATACTTAGTTCAGTGCTATGGGATTTAATAGATGCTTAATGACTAATCAAACACACGAATGAACTGTTAATTTCGAGAGGCAGGCCCTCCTGGGTCCTGGCTTCGCAATTCTGGTTTCAAAATGCCTATAGATGCCTCATAGTTCATTCCAAAATCTGTCTTTTCTCTTTTTTTTCAATTTTTTTATCTTGAAAGGTATAATACAGCAATTTGTCCCTTTAAAAAAAATTGCAGCTCTCTAAATCTGACACTACAAATATCACACACTTGGATGAAAGAAACAGAACGGGTTTTGCTGTTGTTTTCAAAGGAGAAGGAAAAGACAAGAGAAACGTGGTAGAAAGGGTAAGCCTCACTTTGATTAGCCTGTGAGTGGAGGCCCTGGGGGTCGGCATGGCTGTAGGCTTGGCTTCTCACACTTCCTGTGACACTTCCCCAAGTGACACTCTCTGAAGCTCTCCCTGAGAGCAGCTTTGACCATTCCTTAATCTTGTTTTTTCCCAACCTTTAAGAGTCAATACAGAGATCAAAAGGTGGTATCAACTGGAATGAGAATTGCTAGTCAGGTTAGTTAGTGGTGGTGGTTGAACTGGCCAGAAAACTTCCTTAAAAGTTCCTTTCCACGGCGCACTGAGACTCTGCTTCACTCTGTCTGGAAGTGTGGGTGAGGCCGTGCTATTAGTGAACTCCCTCCCCAGCCCACTCTTAACACATCCATCCTTGAAAAACCACTCATTGGGTCCAATTCTGTGTTACAGCTGAGAAGATGAAGGCTCAAGAAGGTATAATGATTTGGCTGAGGACATATGGTCATCACGAATGGAACAAGAAGGACAAAGTCCCAGGTGTGTGTGTGTGTGTGTGTGTGTGTGTGCGCGCGCGCGAGCGTGTGTGTGTGCGTGCGTGCGTGCGTGCATGCGTGCGTGTGTGCGCACGCGCACGCGCACTGCTGCCTTTATCAACAGAGGTTGCAAAGCCTGCTGGGATCTGGGCTGGACTTAAAAAGTCTGTGTGGTCAGTAATCAGGCATTGGAGAGTGGCCAGCCTTTGTTTGCCTTGAGTCCTCGTGTGGCTCAAGGTTTGTTTCCTTGAAGTATCTGGTCTATCCTGGGAAACTAAAATGACAAACTATAAAAATAGCCTCTTGCAAAATGACAACATTAAAAACAACAAACACAACGGAATGATGGAAAGCCTTCTCAAGCTCTGAGAAGTTTGCTCGAGACCTGTAATTTCCTGGAGCTGAATATTTTACCTACCTAGAGGAATGCTAAGTTCACTGAACACATCCTCTGGCTCCCAGGAAGGCAAAGAAAGGGGTTCTTTAAGCTCCGCCTCGGTATATTCTGGTGATCTCACGCCCAGAGATTTCATTTCCGTGTACCTGGAGCTTTCTGCAAAACATGAACACCCCTCCCCCCCAGGGGGAGGAAAAAAGGAAGAAGGAGAAGAAGAATGAAGCACAGCATGTCTCAAAAGAGTCCCTGTAATTCTGTCCCCTGCACTGTGTGACTGGGACTTGTCCCTTGGACTGTTTAATCACATGGGGCTGAGGCTACCACTGCTAATTAGAACCAAAGCCCTATAATTAAGAGCATTTTCCATTGCCAAAAAAATGCCACACACAATAAAACTTGGCCCATCTTTGTACTTGGCCTGGGGGGGTTGGACAACTAATGCCTTCAGATGGGATGATCCACTCCCACTCTCCCAAACCGGTATCGCCCCATCTCTGCAGGCACAGAGATTGTTGAAGGGCAAAAATTGTGCTGACATCCACTGAATCTGGCCAAGAAAACCATGCCATTCTCACCCCAGGCTTGTGGAGCGGGGCTATTAAATATGAACTCCAAACACTGGGTAAGCTAATAAACCACTAACACCAGCACATGTCGGGACCCATACTGCAAGACAGAAGGGGTTCCGTGAGAGCTAGGTGAAGATGGCGGGGATCCTTTCTTCTTGTCTGCTCCAGACAAGGCTGGACCTCAGGTATTACCCTACCCATGCCAGTCATCACCATGGAGATTCAGGTCCAGAGCGAATAACAGCTCAGGTCAGCTTGACATGGAGGAAACCCCAAGCCTCCAGGTCACTGCAGGCTTGGCTACCCACAAGGCTCTGGGTTGAGATGCTATTTTGTTCAGCCTTTTCTCTAGATGTTATGCCCCAGGACCTTTACTGCAACCTCAGTTTACAGCACAAGCTTTCTATAAAATGGATCTCTAGTTCTTTTCACTATGAGAATCATCAGAGCTACTCTCTCCCCTCCCTATACTAAGCCCTTGATGGATCTCAGATTCCACTTGGCAGAGAAGCCAGGACTTAGCCTATTTTAAACTCTCTAGTTCATGATGTCACAGTACCCAGCATAGCCACAACATCACCTCCGGTGGAGGTGGAGTGGCTCCCAGGACAAGTCCCGTATCACTGTCAGACCCTGGAGAAAAATGGGACTGAGATGGTAGGAAGGGGAACAAGCCATTTCCCCCAGTGAGACCCTATAGTTTCCTTGCATGTACCCATTTTCCCCGACCTGATAAGGAAATAACCACCAGAGGGTCCCCTGCTGTCCAGGCCGGGGTGACTGCCTGATCCCAAGTTCTTTTGGCTAAATCGAGAAGCTAATTGCAGTTGTCTGAGACCCTCAGAAAAGTCTACCCTTCGCTGAGTTTTGCTTCTCTGAATACATGCAGCTTCCTATCTGATTTCCTTCCCACCATTCCCTGAAAGCACAAAGAGCTTAGCCAGGCCATTAGAGGCTGGCTTCCATGAATGCAGGACTTTCTGCACGGGCTTTCCACCAGTGGAAAGCTCCTGCATGCCTGTGCCAGTCTGCACATGCCCATACTTCTTCCTGGAAGCAGTGGTCCGATCCGCCCAGCCACCCCTGAGGAATGGGGAGGTAGTTACCCTCGGTCAACACGCCTTGGCAAGCCTGGCTTTGGAGGTTGCTTTCAGTGGGGGGGCCGGCTTTCTCCTCCACAGGGCTGCCTTCACAAGCCCCATCTTCGGGAGACCCTCCGGCCTTGCAGTCATCGAGAAATGGGCTAGGCTGCCGGGCCCTCTCCTCTGCTGGCTGGGGGGAAGACATTTGCTGGGCTGCAGGGGCTAGGCGCACGTCTGAGCCCTCTGCTCCCTTTGCCTCCTTCTCGTAGCAATCTGAGTCCTCCAGTGAGAGGCCTGTCTCGCATTCAGCTGGCTTCCGCTCAGCATCCAGATTTAGGCCAGGCATCTCCACGTCCGTGTCACTGGGACAGCGCGTGGAAACAGAAGGCAGTTGTCCGGGCAGCTTGAGGCTAATGTCTGCAGTCCCATTCCCTACGGCCTCTCTCTCCTTGCTGAAAGCCTTGGGCAAGTCCAGGTCTAAGCTGGCCATCACACATGGACACATTTCCTGGCAGATTTTGTCTTTCTGGCTAATGGGCATAATTTCTTCCAGCTCTGGGATGTCTGGTTCCATGATAAAATCTTCTTCTTCTCCCACCTCATCCACTGTGACCAGCTCCTCCATGTTGGTGGGGTACCAACTCTCTCCTTCTGCCTCGCTTCCACTTTCCCAGTCTTGTTCCTGCATAAGAAGGCAGAGGGATGTGAGAGGGTGGCCTAGAGCATTCGATCAGAGGCACACACCTACCCACAAAGAACCCATGAAAGCAGAAGGTTATTGACTGTTTTCTCTCTGCCTGGGAAAGGTTTACTGGGTAATTAAAAGCTGTGAAGCATCCCAGAACCAGTGGCCTCACACCTATAATCCTAGCTACTCAGGTGGCTGAGATGTGAGGATTACGGGTCAAAACCAGCCTGGGCAGGAAAGTCTATGAGATTCTTTTTGTTTGTTTGTTTGTTTTTGTCAGTTGTGGGGCCTGAACTCTGGGCCTGGGCGCTGTCCCTCAGCTCTTCAGCTCATGGCTAGTGCTCTACTACTTGAGCCAAATGCCACTTCCAACTTTTTCTGCTTATGTGGTGCTAAGGAATCGAACCCAGGGCCTCATGCATGCAAGGCAAGCATTCTACCACGGAGCCACCTTCCCAGCCCTCTATGAGATTCTTATTTCTACTTAACCACCAAAATACCAGAAGTGGAACCATGGCTTACATGGTTAGAGCATCAGAAAAAAATTAATATAAATTAAAAAAATAAAAGAGTTGTGAAGTCCCCAAGTCCCATATAATCAATTCATTGCCTGGGGCGGGGGTGTTCCAAAATGGCACAGGGTTTAGAATAATCCCTTAATGCTTAATCCACCATGTTTGAAATAGCTCAAAGAATTTTAAACCCCTGAGACATCACAGGTGTTCAATATGTAGTTTTTGAGTGAATGAATGATCAAGTCACAAATATGTACTTACTAGGGCGATTTCCTTGTATGTGAAGGCATCACTAAAAGTCATAATGGCAAAATCCCTCACACAATACCTCCAAACACACTCCACAGCAAGGGTGCAACTTTCAGCCTTACACCCGATCCCTGCAAAACTATCCCCTGGTGTTCCGGGCAGCTCTTCCGCTCAGCGGACACATCTAGATCAGCTTCTCCTGACCGGAAAGGCACGAAGCTGGCCGTGGTCCAAGGACATTTCTTGTTGCTGTAGAAGCCCAGCCTCGGAGAATGGTAGCTGCATTTTTCTTTTTTAATTAGGTATGGTGATCTTTATGAACACAGTACATGGCTTGTTAATCCTAGGGTCTGGGCTTGCTGAGGTCAGAGGCCCAGCTCAAGTACCGGAATCACTGCTACCCACCCCCCTCAGGGACTGGCCTATTTTGGGAGCCTGGCGCTAAAGCCTGAGAGTTTTTCTGGGGGCACATGTTTTGTCTTAGGAGCATAGCCAAGTTTGCTGGAGTGTGAGGCAGAGCCCAGACTTGTGGATCACCATCTCCCCAGCAGGGACTGTACTTGGGGTGGGGGAGGGCGGGGAACGCCCATTCATGGAACCCTGAGCAGACACCTTCCACACACAGTGGGTCAGAGCCAGGCAGGATGAGGACACCCGTGTCTTGGTTCCCCGACCGCTGAATGGGACAACACAGCTGGGGTGTGGAACCTGTTTACCTTCTGTGTCCTGGCGCTTTCTGGAAATGAGGACTCTGTCTCTTTCTCCTGACTGCCCACTGCTTGGGGACTTTCCTCTGTGCCTTCCCGTTGCTCTTTTCCAGCCTTACCAAAGGAAGAACAGAACAAACAACATCAAGAGTGAGCAGAGACAGAGAAGAGGGGAATGGCAGTGTCAAATGCATTTCTCACACATCGTTTCCTTTTGTGTCCCAGGATCTCTGAGAGGGGCGGCTGCTGTGGCCACCCACTTTACAAGTGGGAAAACTGGGGTTCAGAAGGTTAGGGAAGGCACTCATGGCTGCACACAGATGGAGGCACAGTCATGTCTTGAAAACTGGCTCAATGTCTCTAGAAATCCCTGGCCAAATGGGTATATTTGGCAGTGAGGGTAGGTAGAGAAAACCAAGGGTGAACGCCCGGGGGCAGCCCATCATTCACATAGCCCCATCTTGACTATTAGGGGGAAACATTAGTATTCTGGCTCTTTGTGGGTGGGAAGGGAGTTGTCACACAATCAGTGCCCTGCCACCCTCTCTTTTGCTCAGTCTCCATCCGAAAACACCAGCCTAGCTAGTACTCCATTTCTTCTCACCTTCCTTCTATTCTTCTACCAGTGAAGGACCCCAGGATAGTGCTCATGGCTGAGGAGCTGACCACCTGACAGCAGATGTTTGGTTAGAGACCCAGGGCTGCTCACCAGTCTTAAAAACAGGGTGACCCATCTAATAGTTTGCAAGTCCTTCCTTGTGGCCTGTTTTTGTAGTCTGTGAGCTAAGAATGCAATTCTGTAATTTTGAACAGTTAGATCTGAAATGTTTATATAAATACTGACCTCAAATGTTCAACTTTACCTCTTCCCTTATGTAGACTGAGTATTCTTTTTTTTTGGGTCCGGTTGTGGAGCCTGAACTCTGGGCCTGGGCGCTGTCCCTCAGCTCTTCAGCTCAAGGCTAGTGCTCTACCACTGGAGCCATACACCACTTCCGGCTTTTTTCTTTTTGCTTATGTGGTGCTGAGGAATTGAACCCAGGGCCTTATGCATGCAAGGCATGCGCTCTACCACTGAGCCACCTTCCCAGCCCAGACTGAGTATTCTTCATTTGATCCTTTGTAGAAAAGGCCTGCCTGTCCCTGTTTTAGAAGTTTCTGGAATGTATGCTTCCATGACTTAAACTTCGATCATCAAACCAATGCCTCCCAGGTTTCCTTGGGGCAAGTTGTATTTTCCTGACATTTTTGGCTGAGGTTGGTCTGAAGTAAAGGACACTAGTTCTAATTATCTATAAGCAGACACACCTCCTGACCAGACAAGCTAGCTGGAGTAGGAAGAAATCTGGAGCTAACTGGTTTTACTTGTTACTACTGGCCAGAGACAGATAGTTCAAATCTTCTTTCCAGCTTTTAGATTCCACTGAAATGGAACTCTTAGACATCAGAGGCTGTAGCTCCTACCATGCAGCCATCCATTTTGGTCTATTTTTAATCTTCCTGAACAAATGGTCACCTTCCTCTTTTGTCAAAATAATCCATACCCACCAGGTACCTGTGGTTGATGACTGTGATCCTTGCTACTTAGGCTGAGATGTGAAGATTGTGGTTCAAAGCCAACCTGGGTAAGAAAGTCTATGAGACTCTTATCTCCAATTAACCACTAAAAAGCCAGATGGAGATGTATGGCCGAGTTAAGAGTGCCAACCTTGAATAGGAAAACCTAAGGGGCAGCACCCAGGCCCTGAGTTCAAGCTCCAGTACCAGTGTGTACACCAGCACATGCACACACATGTGCACGCACACACACACACCCCACAAGCAATTCCTGCAAACACATGCCTAGATGAACACAATAAAAATATCTCCTATAGTTCAAGCTGGGAGAGGCAAGGACAATTTGGGGACCTGTCTGAAAGCTCTCCAACTAGGCAGAACTTTGCTTTTCCTCCCTGTAGCAAAGGAACAAGTATTTAACAGACAAATACAACAAAACACCCGACTTAGACTGTTTCAAGTAGGGCCTGGCCACAAGCAAAACCTCCTCCTAACTGGTCTCTCCGGTCCCCATACATCTTTTTTCCTAAGGTGGTCAAAAGTGATCTTTCAAAACTATACAAACTATCCCATGCTTACTGTTCTTTCTTGCTGAAACACTTCCTTTGCTTCCCTTTGCACCTAAGATAAAGACAGGAAAGTCTTTAACCTGCCCACAAGGTCCTGCATGATGTAATACCTGTTGACAAATCAACCTCACCTTCCAACATGGGATGCTGGCTCTCTCTACTTCAGCTGCACTGGCTTCTAGCCATGTACAGGGCCTTTGCACATGCTGTTCCTGCCATCTGATCTCCTTCCTTTCCACCCAGTAAATAGGTAAGCTTCCTTCAACTCTCAACCATGACAGACACTAACAGTGCCATACACCTTCCCTCTAGTTCATACGGATCTTCTATTGGAGAATGACTTGATTAGGACGTCTTTCCACTACAGTGTCAGACCAGAAACCCATTCAGTCTTACCCACAACTACTGCTGGTTGCTCCATGGATATTGTTCAATAAAATGGGATTGATCAGAGGGGATGGGGCTTGCTCCTGTCTCTGGCATGTGGGAACTCTGAGCTCAGAATCATATGAGTGCTGGATTTGGGGATTTTTTTTTCTATTTCTTCCTCTTATGGGTTGTTTATATTAGGGGTTGCCTGTGTGGGCCCCTGGGCTGCATGGGACCCACAGACACAGTGTGGCCCAGTTTCTAAAGCAAGTGAGACATCATATAGATACCATACAGGCCTGGGGTCTTGCTGTAGGAGGAGGGCAAACTGACAGCAGGGGACACGTGTTCCCCTTCATCCCTACCACCCCTCACCTGGGGCAAGATGGATGAGTGCTTCTTTTCCATGTCTTCCTTATGCAATGGCCTGACTTTTTTCCTGCTTCTCAGGGTGCTGTGGTCAGGGCTAAGCTCCTGGATGGGCTTGGCTATTCTGAACACAGGGCAGCTCAGGAGCCTTTAGACCCTGACACTTCCTCCTGAGATCTCAGAGGGTCTCTAACAAGCACAGCTCACTAAAGTGCCACAGCTGCTAGATGGCCACACCCATTTCACAAATAAAAACATGCGGGCAGAGAACAGGGAGTGAGTGACACGATCAATCGGAAGCCAGAGGGTTTTCCCTGGAAGCCAGTAGGAGGCCCGCACCTCCCTGGCACCTTGGACATTTCAGAGTCCACAGGGTTGTAGGACTCCCTCGAATGCCAAATCTATAGCTGCTCAAGTCCTTTATATAACACAGCATGATATTGTATATAATCTGTACACAACCTCTCAAACACTTTAGCTCACCCATAGATAACGTGTAACACCCAATTACCATGTAGATGTTATGCAAGTCACCATACTCTGTATTCCCCCTAAGGAAGGCAACAAGAAACATCTATACATGTCCGCTAAGATGTAATCTTTTTTCCCAACTATTTTCAATCCATGCTTAGTTGGCTCTAAAAACATGGAATCCAAGGGTAGGGATGACTCTATCCACAGGCACATGTTTCTTAAAAACATCAACTGGGCCAGGTGCCAGTGGCTCACACCTGTAATTCTACTCAGGAGGCTGGAATCGGAGGATCATAGCTCAAAGCCACCCAGAACAGGAACGTCTATGAGACTCTTATTTCCAATTAACCACAAAAAGCCACAAGGGGAGCTATGGCTTAAGTGGTAGAGCACCAGCCTTGAGCACAAAAGCTCAGGGACAGGTGCAGAGTTCAAGTCCCAGGACTGGCAAAAAAAAAAAATTTACTGGAAACTGGGTGCTGATGGCTCACTTATATCTATACTCCTAGCTACTTCAGGAGGCTGAGATCTGAGAATCACAGTTCAGAGCAGACAAATCCATGGAATTCCATGTAACCAGCAAACAAGCTGGAAGTGGAGTCATGGCTCAAGTGGCAGAACGCCAGCCATAAGTGAAAAAGCTGAACGAGAGTGCAAGACCCTCACTTCAGGCCCTAATACCAGAGGGGATCCTCAGGGTCACATTTAAGTCTTTAGCAAGACCTGCAGGTCCTTCAGGAGCATCCCAGACCCCATTTCTGAATCTCATCTCCTGCTAGGCCAGTCAGGAAAATCAGGAGCAAAAGGGGCAAAAGATGACTAGGCATTCTTTCCATAGCAAGTCAGACATTTGTGCTGTAGGCGCCTGCATCTTTCTGAACTGAGCTATTTTACAACTCTGTTATAAGCTGCAGAAAACTCACTGCTCATAAAGTAAATGATTCTTGTTCACAGAAGTGTAAATGAATTTTATTTGGTGGAAATGCAATGGTTTTCCTCAGGCATGGGCTGGGGGGGGGGGAGGGGGCAGGGAGAGGCTGGGGGAAGGAAGGCCAGTTCTACAACTTTAGCAAATTCATCTCAGCATTCTTGGTTGCTTATGCAGCTTGTCTGCTCTTTGGAGTCTTTCAGTTCTTTTTACCATAATTACATCTTATAGTAGTAAGATGGAATTAATGAGTTGAATAAAATCTTTAACATTTTATTCACTATGTTCACACCAGTTGTACTTTTCCATTTTAAAAACATTATCCTTTACCCAGCCACAGTGGCTCACTCATATAAACCCTAACTACTCAGGAGGCTGAGATCTAAGGATCTCAATTTGAAGACTCTTATCACCAATAAACTAACCCCTCTCCCCTGTCAGAAAAAAATTAAAAATCCAGAAGTAGAGCTGTGGCTCAAGTAACAAAGCACTAGCCTTGAGCAAAAGAAACTCAGGGACAGCACCCAGTCCTGAGTTCAGGCCCCAGGACTGGCACAAAAACAAAAACAAAAACAAAAGCCAAAACAAACGATCTTTTAATAAGCCCTAAAGATGCGTCCTTGTTGAGTATCTCCAGGTTCTTGAGTCTTTTGTTTTTGCTTTTGCCCTTGCTACTGCTTCTACCAAGAACCGCAACTGTCCTTTTCCAGCTCAAATATGCACCCCCCCCAGCTGTCTCCTCTCTCTGTATAGACTCTGCACCCCTGGAGAAACTCATCTACTGCCAACTCCAACATGTTTCCACCTTAGTCCTGGGTCTGTGTAGTAACATGGGCCATGTCCTATTCAGCTTGGTTTTCCATGTACCTAGTAAACTACCCTGCCAATTGTGACTCTACTTCACACATGTGGGTATAAAGGACATAGGAAGGACTGTGACTCTTCCAGGAAGAGAATTCTGCTACTTCTTTGAACTTTGTCATTGTCATCAACATCTGGGTCAGGCTACTAGAGGATCTGCATGGAACACTTTAAAAATTGTAGCTTCCTTATTTAGACCTCCCCATCTCCAAACCTTCACTAGCTCCTCCATACTTAAACATAAAGGCTTTGGCAAGAAGGAAGCAAAGCCCAGTTAGAAGACCAGGCTGGCACCAGAGTCTTCCTGGCGACCCCTGGGTAGAATTCCACGGGCCACTTATCCTTTTAGACCCCGGTGTGCAAGGGCCAGCTGGCTGCCGTGTGTTATTATTAAAATAGAATGAAAACCTGTGGGCACTATTTAGAGAAACACGTCAGGACCCTGTGTAACCTAGGGGGCGGGGGCCCTCTACTTTCCCACCTCTCATGGGCGCTCTGGGATTGGTGGGTGCTTTTCACAGGAGGGAGGGCTGAGTGGCCCTCAGGTCTAATCTCCTTGGCAGACTCTGTGGGGTGCCACACCTCAGGGCCCTCCACCCTGGACAAACAGGACCAGGGAAGGCCTTCCCACCATGCCCTTCCCAGACAGGTAGTAAAAGCAGCAAGGTGCCTTGGGATTTGAGGCTCTGCCATTTCCCGATCAAGTGTCCTCCAGCAAAGCTCGGTGCCTCAGTTTCCTCGTCCGCTAGAGTAACCGTGCCGGCCTTGTAAGCTGTAAGTGACTCAGTGGGCACCTGGCACCTAGCCAACACGCAGCAAATGCTGAATAACACTTCGGCCCCCGGCCCTCGCCCCGCCGCGGCTGGGGAGAGCCCCTGGCTCATTACCTCATTCTCGGCCACTTTGCGGTCCTTTCTGTCCTCGGCGCCTTCTTGGTCTGGGTCGGGCCTCTTGGTTTTGTTTTTCTCCCCCTGCTTGGCCTTGCTGCCCTCGGGGGTCCTCGTGTCCTTGCCCGAGTCGTCGGGGTGCGGGTGCCGGCTCTCCCGCATCCGGGCCTCGTCTTTCCTCCTGGACCTCCCAGGTGCCTCCAGCTGCTGCTTCAGGTACTTGTCCAGCTTGGCTTTGGGCTCTTTCCGGTAGTAACCATCCTCTCGGCTTTTGTAGCCGGCCACGGAGTGAAGTGGGCTGGGCGACCCGGGCCTCGGGTACTTTTCCCGGTGGCCCCTCCCGCCGTCCAGCCGCTCGTCCGACTCCGCCTTGTCCATCGGTCGGGGGTAGTGCTTGCGATCGTGCCCCCACACGTCCACCCGGTCCCTCTTGTCCTCCCCGTTCTCTCTCCGCTCGTCCTCCCTCCTGGCGTAAGGAGAGTGCTCCCATGAGTCCCGTCCGTTGCCCCAGTCGGCCCGGGAGGGGCCTGGAGGGCTGTGGGAAGAGCTGCAGGAGGTGAAGCTCGGGGTGTGGGACCTCGGGGACAGGGAGCGGCTCACTGGGCTGCGAGACCGGGGCCGCTCCGGGCCGTATCTGCCAGGGAGCAAAGGAGCAGGTTTAGAGTGGACGCCCCTGGGCATGCCACCCCGCACTGACACTCCCAGCCTCTCCACAGATAGGTGGGGCTGGACACTGCCATCACAACCAGCCAGAACACACAGAGAGGTCTAGGATGGGGGTCCGCCCTCCCTCCTGGCTCTGCTTCTAGAAACTTGGGAGAAGGACTGAATTGGTGCGGCTCTGCCTGGCCTTTCTTCCTGGAGGAAAGTAGCGCTCAGGCTTGGACTCTCCTCCTGTGGAGCTGTGGGGGTGGGGGGCGGGGGGGGGAGGGGGTTGGGTAGCTCTGGTTAGGCTGTTGAGTCCTAGGGTCCAATTTTTACCTCCTTACTTCTAAGACTTGAGGCTATTTCTTCACCTGGTCTCTATGAGAATCTAGGGGACTACTTGCCCTCCAGTTCTCTCTCTCATTCGCTTCAGATCTAAATCTGTGAAGAGCCTGGCCTGGGCAATGGGAGGGACAGGTGGGCAGGCTCAAAGACAAAAAAAAAAATCACCAAAACATTTAGACATTTAGGAAGACATTGAAGGGTTGGAAGAGACCTCAGAAATCTGACCTACTTAACGTTCAAAAAGCCCAGAGAAGAATTCTAACCTGTCTAAAGTTCAAGGTAAGATTCCCTAATTCCCCCTCAGTATGGCCACCGCCAGGTGGAGGCCACTGAGCATCCCAATAATGACGATTTTAAAGAAACAAAAGGCAAACAAAAATCCCCAAATCCCAGTCTCTCTGTCTGTCTTTGTCTCTGTCTCTCCCCCTCCCACAAAGGTCAGTTATTAGGCAGATCAAGTGATATCCTAAATCAACTGATTCCCTAAAATGAAGGGCATTTGCCTTTGGGCCTTAATCACAGAAAAATCAGGTAGCCCTCAGCACCAAGAGACAGGGCTGTCTTCATGGTGAGGAACGGTCTGGCCTAGCCTCTCTACGGTAAGGTTAGAGCGCCCTCTGTGGCGGCCCTGGGGTAGTCACAGACTGGGGCCAGCAGCCCATTCAGGCTCTTTCCATCTGAGTGTTGTAGGACAGAGATCCTGGTCAACCTGTAGCCCCAGCTCTGCTGGGTCACAATCTTCATTTGGAAGACGTTAAAAAACTATTCAATGTTAAGAGTAAGTGTTGAAATAACTTGGGTGGCTTTTTTGTTTTTTGTACCATTCATGCTACATTTACATTCAGCTCATGAAAACAGAAGAACTGGCTGTAAACAGAAACCAACCAGACACACACACACACACACACACACACACACACACACACACACACACACACACACACACACACACACACACACACACCTGCACACATGCATTTAGTAGAGGTAGACTTGCCCCAAAGAGCCAAACAGTAGTCAGGTCTTTGTGCCTTTCCATGCTGAGGGAAAAGCCAAGGGAACAGCACCTCACCTCTTCCTGAGTCATCCTGGGAACACTGCTGGACTGGGTGGGGGGCCTCGTTGGGAAATGGGATAGCAGGGCTCATTAAGGCGGGGGAGGGGCACAGAGGTAAGTGCAGGCGATGGTGTGACATGCATCCCTCTGAGAACGAGAAGTCAGCAAGTGCTCAAACTGCCTAATACCTGCTGCTCTGGGCCCTAAAACCTCACCTGTCTGCTTCCCGGAACATGTCCCTCTCCCTCTGGGAATGGATGTCCTGGATGATGGCAGCCACCGTTTTCCCAGGTTTCTAGGCAAAGTCAGAGAGATCACCATCAGATCGAAGACAGCCTTGCAAACACCAGCTGTCACTTGGGTTCCCCACTGCCCCATCCACCAAGGAGGGAAAAGTGCCTTTTGCAGGGAGGGGGAAAAAAGTCTAATTCAAATGATGAGAATTGTGGGCATAATGTGGGATAATGGAGGCCTGAGGGTCCAGAGAGAGGCACACAGAGAGCTGGGTAAGCAGCAGCCTGGGCTCACCATGTGCTGAGGGTGAAGAGGGAGTTAATCCCTCCCAACTTAAAAATAAATAGATAAAACATGTAAACCATGAAGACAGGGAAGGAGGAAAAGCAATGGCTTTATAACTTGGAAGGAGACTTGAAGGGCACTGAATTTGGTGTCCACCTTCCACAAGTGTATAAACAGACTCAGGGAGGCTGAGGCAGAGCTTCTGCCCTGTGTAACTCTAGCCATACTATGTTCCTGCAGATGGAGACCTCTGAAGTTGTGCTGGATCCAAAGCCATAGAAATAGTGAAAGAGTGAGTACTGGAAGCCGTGGGTGGTAGTGTATGCTTACAATCCCAGCAGAAGACAAGAAGATGGGGGGTTTGAGAACAATGCTGGTAAAGTTAACAAGAGCCTAGCTCAAAAATATAACAAGCTGGGCACCAGTAGCTCACGCCTATAATCCTGTCTACTCAGGAGGCTGAGATCTGAAGATCCCGGATGGAAGAAAGGGGGGGGGGCAGGAAAGTCTGTGAGACTCTTATCTCCAATTAACCACCAGAAAACCAGAAGTGGTGCTGTGGCTCAAAGTGGTAGAGTGCTAGCCTTGAGCGAAAGAGCTCAGGAACAGTGCCCAGGCCCAGAGTTCAAGCCCCATGACCAACAACAACAACAAAAAAGTTTTATGAACTCTGGAAAATAGGAACATGTTGCTGAAGGTATCATTTGTTTTTGCTTTTGTTGGTTTTTATGGGGGGGAGGAGGTTGGTTATTGTTGCTGCTTTGAGTTAATCCCCAACCCCCGGGTTGTTTTCTTTAATAGTCTGAAAGCTTGTGCACATTTAACCTAGGATCAAGGTATGTTCTTCAGTCTTTGTTGTCCTAGCTAGTCTACCTGTTGCCACAGGTAGAGTGAGCCACAGCGGTAGCTATGGGGCTCTGAGCTGGTTTCCTGAGTGATGTAAATCTCATCAAATGGACCTGATTCTTGATGGCTCCTGCTCAAAGAACTCACTGAATCCTAGTTGCTGCTACTGCATGACTCTGCAGATGGGGTCTGTGATGATGCCTAGCCATTGAATGACTCCTATGGTGTGAGGTTAATTTGTAAACTAAATGGAAAAAAGCAAGGATAAAAAGTGAAGAAATTTCTTTTTTTTTTTTGGGTCCAGTCGTGGGGCCTGAACTCTGGGCCTGGGTGCTGTCCCTCGGCTCTTCAGCTCAAGGCTAGCGCTCTACCACTTGAGCCACAGCACCACTTCCAGCTTTTTTTCTTTTTGCTTATGTGGTGCTGGGGAATCAAACCCAGAGCCTCAGGCATGCAAGGCAAGCGCTCTACCACTGAGCCACCTTCCCAGCCCCGATTAAATTTCTTTTGCCTGCCTGCCTCTCTCCCTCCCTCCTGCCCTCCCTTCCCCCTTCTCTCCCTTCATCTCTTTCCTTTGCTTTTCCCTCTCTTCTCTGTCTCCATCTCTGTCTCCATCTCCGTCTCCGTCTCTGTCTCTGTCTCCGTCTCCGTCTCCCTCTCCCCTTCTCCCCCTCGCCCCTCCCCTCTGGCTTGGAAAAAAAAATCCCTGGGCTGGGAATGTGGCTTAATGGTAGAGTGCTTGCCTAGCATGCATGAAGCCCTGGGTTCGATTCCTCAGTACCACATAAACATAGAAAGCTGGAAGTGGTGCTGTGGCTCAAGTGGTACAGTGTTAGCCTTGAGCAGAAAAAAGCTCAAGGACAGTGCCCCGGCCCTGAGTTCAAGCCACAGGACTGGCAAAAGGATTCCTTGATGTCCAGGTTCTGTCCTTCTAGAAAACTCTTATCCTCCTGATGGTTTCTTCTAGACCAGACCCAGGAAAATCTGGGGTAAAAGGAAGAAGGTGACTTTCAGGGCCAAATGGAACAGATAACATTTTGCAGATCACCCAGCAAAGCCAATGTCAGGGCCAAAGGCATCCAAGAACACTTGGTCCTTTCTATACCTGTCATCACAGATACCTCCTCCAGGCCCACCCCTTTTGGGGTGTCCGGGAGTGGGGTAGAGCAGGCTCTCACCAGCCACCATAGATGAAAACATCCTCTAGTGACCTGCAAAAATTACAGCAATGCATTTAGAGGACTTTGGGGCCAGAAGAGCCACTGCTTGGCTTAAACATCCCCCATTCCTTATTTCTTCAACACACAGTCTTCTCCTGGGGCCACTTCTAACCCAGTGCCGTGTGAAGTTACTACTCTTCAGATCCAGGTGCCCACAGAGGTAGCCCTGGCACACTAATCTTCACACAGCCAGCACCCACACAGAGCCTTGCATAGAACCATACCTGTTCCAAGATGAATGGCTGGTGAAATGGAGAGAGAACATTAATCTGCCACCAATCTGCAAGTATGACCTGCTACGGCTGGCGGGCTCAGACAGTGTCCCCTTCTCTAGATCACAGGGTCAATTTTCTCATTTCAGTGATGGTTGCAAATTATGTGGCACTCTATGGACCAAACACCCTACTAGTTGTCATCTAAGGACAGGGTCAAAAGTGGCCAAAGATTTTTCAAAGTCCTAAGGGAAAAAAATCCTATAATGTTAATGTTTATGATTCATGCTAATTCTGTAATATTTATGACAATGTTTCTGTCAGGCTAGCCTCTGCATCCTTCTGTTCATCTGTGTTGTTACACAGATGTAAACCGAGTAGTGTGATGCTGACATTAGCTCAAAACCTAGGCTGGGTCTATGATAAAATTTTGGGTGCCGTTAGTCACACAAAAGTGGAGCAAATGGGATACTCAACTCCATGAATCCTTCAACAATTCTGCCCTGGCTTCTTGTATCTGCACCTCTACCTCGCAAGACTATTTTGAGGTGAATCCCAGAGGCCATATCTTTTCACCCATTCTATGATGACATCGATGCTGCTCAACAACCGCACAGGACCAGCCCAGCGCTCACTGCCAACACCTCCTGCTGCTTCTAAGACACGGTGTGACTCGAAGCATCACAGTGTCCTCAGAGAGGGAGGTACCAGGAGCTGGAATCTCAGCCCAGAAAGAGCAGCTCCACAACTGGCAGGGCCACCCGGGGTCAAGGCCTGTTGCCCATGGGAGACTCACTTTCTCCACTTGAAGGTGGGATAATGGTGCGCATCTGGCATGCCAGGGGACATGGCAGACTATGTAGCTGAAAAAGGAGCTGCTGGGGAATTTCATAGCACATGACAGCTCACAGCTGCTGTGCATACCTCTAGAGTCTTAGAAAAATGCTACCTCTAGAGTCCTGGAGATAAACTTTCCAGATGAGCCCAGAACTCAGAGCCAGATGCTATCAAGGCATGCCCAATTGCTTCTGCCATTACCGGGGCTCCCAGCCTCTACATCTCCTTCCATCTGGCTGCTTCCTGAAAACACCTTCTCTGTGACGCTATTTCTCCCCACCCTCCAAAGCCCTGCTCAGAAATTCTCTGCCCTTACACTCCTGAGTCACATTCTTTTGCCACTGAACTTCTAGTAGCTCCCTTACTTAGGATATCATGTTTATATCTTCTAGGATTTTGCACAAAAGTAGCTTGTTTTTCAGTTGCATAGAGAACTCTCCTCAGGGGAGGACCATGCATCGTATTCATCACAGCACTGATACCATGAGGTACACAATAGAAGACCTTCAATCATCCAATTTGCTGACTTAATCTTCCCAACTGAGAGCATCCCAGGACCAGCTCGGAGGCTGGCCAGTCCAGTGGCCCAGAAACCAGGCCCTGTTCCTCGATCTTCATGCAAAGCTCTGAGCAGAAGAACCAGGAACATACCCCTAACAATTCCCTGGAGCAGTGGCTTAAATGTTAAAGACATTACAGCGCTGTATGTATTGGAGAAGTCTCTATAAAACCACCCAGCCAATAGTCCAACCTTCTTGTCCAGCTCTGCAGGAAGGAAAACAATTATTTTTATTGCTCCCTCAGAGTTCTCTTCCTCATTCATTCTGCATGTTTACTGCACACCTATGATGTGAAAGGCTCTTCTCCAAGTGCTCTGAGGAACAGAATCCCGGACACAAAGACTAATGGGAGATATGCTATGGTCACAAGAATGGCAATCAAAAGGATGAAAAATGACATTAAAATCTACCCTCAGTCTGAACTTTGCCTGGTAAGGTTAGGGGAGAGAGGTGGTCAAACTTCTGCTCACCTCTGCCTATTCTACTCAGACAAGATGTGGTAGCCATTTGGTCCAGGTACACAAATGAAGACAGTTTTTTGCCCTTCGCCTTTTCAGTAGCCATTTTTCTCTCTCCAGTAGCCATTCTCTCTCCTTCTAGTAGCACCAGTTTCTCTTTCATCTTACTCAGCCACGCCTTTGGCTGATTCTCCACCTCTAGCTCTGAGAATGGAGCAGGTGACACAGGCTTAGCCAATCACAATGCAGCTTTCTCTTGGCTACTAAGATTGGCTCAGGGATGGGCAACTGTGTTAAGCTAGTCCAATCAGAATGATCTCTCAGAGATTCTATGAGAGCTACCAGGAAAAATCCTGGCTGTCTCTCATTGAAGGAGATGGAGACATGAGATTCCAGAACAACGGAAGAAACTGAAGATACCATGTCATCTAGAGAAGAGAACCTGGGGCTACTAAGGGCCATCCCAGGATCACCCCCCCGCAATAGCCAAGAGAGAAACCAAGTCTTAATGATCACTTTGTGTCCTGAATCCAGCCGTACCTGTAGCCAGAACTACTCCAGATTCCTCATTTATATGAGCCAATTTTTTATTATAAAGGATACATATCTATGTAATTGATATATGCTGAAGGTCACAACTACACTGAGAGACAGTTTGAGAGCTTGGGGTGCAGAAAATTCCATAGCTACTAAAAATCAGAAAACAATGTGCTCTAAACCCTTGCTACTCAAAGTGTGCTTTAAGAACCAGAAGCACCAGCATTTCCTGGGAGCTTGTTAGAAATGCAGAATCACAGTCCTGCTCCAGACCTGCTGAATCAGAAAATATGTTTTGACAAGAGCCTGGGGTGATGTACATGCACATTGAAGTTTGAGAAGCTCAGTTAGAATAGCATCTCTGCAGCTTCCTGCCTGGACCCAAGCAAATTACTTCATTTCTCTGCCCAATCCTACCCTCCCCCACCTTTTTTTTTTCATGTGGTCAAAAAGATTCTAACAATGCAGTATAATGAAGGAGATGTAGTGCAAAAACCAACATAGTCACAGATTTTAATCTAGGCTCTTCTGGTAACCAGGACCTTGGGCAAGTTACTGAACTTCTATTAACTTCCATATCCTCATCTGTGAAACAGATAATAATACCTGTCAGACAGGACTGACGTCAAGATTAAAGTAGATAATGTATGTAAAGTGCTTGGGACATTACTTGTTCCAGAGTACCGGGACTCAATTAAAGGTACCAATTATTCCTGTACTCTCATAATTACTGTCATTATCACCCTACACACCTTTTGAGACCTAAAAGATATAGTATGAAAAAAAATTGCTTAAATTGCCAAAGAACTGGAGCGATAGTCCTTAACTGATTGGTATGCTGAAGTTCACAGAGGTTAAGCAATGAAGCTCTCCCACAGAAAGGGGAGGGGCTTGGGCTGCCACCACCAACCTTCCAATCTGGCACCAGTCACCTGGTTGTTGACAATTCTTTGTTTACATGTCTCCTCTCGCCAGACTACGCTTCTCACATGCTAGCTTTTTCTTTGTCTGTGAAACCCAGTCCACGGCCCACCTGCAGTGGCCAGGCACTCAGTGAATGTCTGCTGAATGCAAGCCTTGACCATTTGACCTCTTTAACCCATAGTTTTGCACCATCCCCAACTATCTCCATAGTAAGTAAGGCATTACCGTAGAAACTGATTACTGCTGTTAATCCTAATTAGGATCTTAAAACAACATCCCATTTGAGAGACCAAAGCTCCACTGGGAACTCAGTGAAGAAATGCAATTCCAGCCTCAGGGGAGAATCCAGGAGAACAGGAATTGGCTGGGTATAGAATAGGGTGGGATCATCATTGGGAGGGGGAAAAAATGTCAGGGATCATTATCTTGCCCATGTAATTGTAACCCCTCTGTACAGTATTTTCACAATAAAAAAAAAGTAAAAAAAATGTCAGAGATTTTGAGAAAGAAAGAAAGAAAGAAAAGAAAGAGAGAGGGGGGAGGGAAAGAAAGAAGGAAGGAAGGGAGTGAGGAAGGAAGGAAGGAAAGAGAGAAAGGAAGGAAAGGGAGGAGGAAAGAAAGAAACAGACAGACAGAAGGGAGGGAGGGAAGGAAGGAAAGAAGGAAGGGAAGGAAGGAAGGAAGGAAGAAAGAAAGAAAGAAAGAAAGAGGAAGGAAGGAGGGAGGGAGGGAAGGAGGGAGGAAGGAAGGGAGTGAGGAAGGAAGGAAGGAAAGAGAGAAAGGAAGGAAAGGGAGGGAGGGAAGGAAGGAAGGAAGGAAGGAAGGAAGGAAGGAAGGAAGGAAGGAAGGAAGGAAGGAAGAAAGGAAGGCAGGCAGGCAGGCAGGCAGGCAGGCAGGCAGGCAGGCAGGGAAGGTGGCTCAGTGGTAGAGTGCTTATCTTGCATGCATGAGTCCCTGGGTTCGATTCCTCAGCACCACATAAAGGGAAAAAGCAGGAAGTGGCTCAAGTGGTAGAGCGCTAGCCTTGAGCTGAAGAGCTGAGGAACAGCACCCAGGCGCAGAGTTCAGGCCCCATGACCGTGGAAGGAAGGAAAGAAGGAAGGAAAAGAACTATGGTCCATATCTTTTTTCATCTGTGCCCTCCCTTCCTCCCTCAACAGCACGGATGAGCAATAGCAACTGAATGAGACAATAGCTAAATGAATGCTGAAAGTATTATTTCATCCTGTAAAGCTCAAAACCAGGCAAATCCCATTGTTTAGGGAGGTCTGAGTGAGAGGTAGAACCAGAGGAAAAGCATGGAAAGGGTTATCCTCAAATTCAGGGGAGTAAAGAGGAAAGGGTGGGGCATGAGGAGAGACTTTCAGAAGCTTCTGGATAATGGACATAGTTTATTTTTTTAGTGGTGGTTTTACAGGATGTGTGAGATCTCCCTCAATGTTACTTTTAAAGTTGTATAACTATTAACTAGTGTTCCATGTATACTATTCTTTCTTTATAAAACAGAAAGAGAGAGAGAAGGAGAGAGGGAGGGAGGGAAGGAAGGAAAGAGGAAAGGAAGGAAGGAAAGAAGGAAGGAAGGGAAAGATGGAGGGAGTAAGGAAAGGAGGGAAGGAGGGAGGGAGGGAGGAAGGAAGGGAGGAAGGAAGGAAGGAAGGAAGGAAGGAAGGAAGGAAGGAAGGAAGGAAGGCAGGCAGGCAGGCAGGCAGGCAAGCAGACAAAAACAAAGTCCTGTTTTAATTATCTGAATTCATCTCTGAGTTCTAAGAGTGGTGAAGTCTGTTAAATGCTCCTTAGAAAGACTTGTATGTGGCTGAAGAGATAAATTGGAGGCGGGAGGAGTGAACAAGAGATCACAAGGGAAGGGAATGGAAGAAGAAAACATTATTGAAGGCCTGCATGGGTAGAAAAATTTTATGCTTAGAACTCTTCTCACGAAAAAGCAGCCACCTTTCTCTTTTTAATTCCTCCTTCAAAACTTCCCCTGTGAAATCCTCTCCTGTAAAAACCTTCCTGAGCAGCTCTTTGCATTTTTCATTCATTCAAATGAGGTAATTTCTTGTCATGTTGTAATAATTTGCCTTTCCAAGGGATAGACTCAAAGACAGTAATTTTTAAAAATCGTTTTCTTTCCCCTTTCCCCCAAAGCAATGATTTCTTAAAACTTTTCTTTTCCCCTTCCCAACAGTACTTAGGTCAGTGGCTGGCAAGTATGAGAACTCAGTGGAGGCCTTTTAAATGGCTGTTGAGTGAAGGAACACTTGCTTTACCTTCAGCTGCAATTCCTTGTATCTCTTGGACATCCTAATGAGCAGTTTCTCACCATTGATCACAGCAGATTTTTCTTGATAATACTGGACCATGGCCTGGGCAGCTTCTGTATAAGCCATCTCTAAAAAGGCCTAGGAAAGACAGGAAGAACATATGTTAGACATGACATTAATGGTCATTAACAAAATTCAGTACAAGTCATAATTCCATGTGGATGGAACCTCAAAGTTCAAGAGTAGGCAACACTAACTGGTGGTGGCAGAAGTCGAGCTACCTTCAGGGGCTGGGGTGGGAAGCGGCATAAGGAAACCTGCTGCTGTTAAGGAAATGTCCTGTATCATGACCTGGCTTTTAATTATATGGGTGTATATTTGTAAAAAAAAATAATGGAGTTGTATCCCCAAGACTAGTGTACTTTATGCACTTGAGAGTATCTGGTTTATAACTCCATAAAAAGAAAAAAAATCAGTACAAGGAAGAGCTCTCTTTGATCTCATCTGTTCAAAGAGACCTTTTTATTAACTTTGCCAAAAGAGCTCATTATAGGATGGCCCCTCTCTGGTCTCCATGGTTACCAAACATTATTCTTAATTATATATGTCCATCCTGGACTACATCATGCTATGCAAACTCCTCTGGGATGAGAGGATCCATTAACTCACAATTCCCAGGGTTGTGGGTAGGGGTGGGGACTCTTGCACTGTGGCCTTGGGCTGCTATTTGGTAGTGGTGACAGCAGGAGACACAGACACATACCATAGTTATTTGAGCTCTCACCTGTCTTATAAAGAAAGAAATATATTAAAATTCTCAGGGACTCAAAAGCTATTAGGTTTGGAGGATGCCAGATTAAGAACTAGAGAAAGGAAACCCCTACTATATTTCCACAGCATTTGTCCTCCTTTTTTTAACTGTTCTGGCAAAACCCTTACATCATATATTGGATTTTCTGCTCTGCATGTCTAAAGAAGTTTCTTGGGTTTTTTTTGTTGTTGTTGTTTGTTTTTTTTTTGTCGTCGTGGGGCTTGAACTCTGGGCCTGGGCACTGTCCCTGTGCTCTTCAGCTCAAGGTGAGCACTCTACTGCTTGAGCCACAGCACCACTTCTGGTTTTCTAGTGGTTTATTGGAGATAAGAGTCTCATGGACTTTCCTGCCCAGGCTGGCTTTGAACTACAATCCTCAGATCTCAGCCTCCTGAGTAGCTAGGATTACAGGCGTGAGCCACTGGCGCCCGGCTTTAAAGAAGTTTCTAAATAGACCGTTTTCGTCAGTTTCCCCCAGTACTTGTAGTGGTCAAGCCCTGGCAGTTCTTATGTTTTTGATTTGTCTGGCTTGCACTATACTGATGTGAACTGCTACTGGCCCCTCTGTGTTGAGAGGGAAAGTGACCTGGGACAGAGCCGCTCCCAGTGTGAGCCCTTCATTCTTCCTTTTTCTTGAACGGAATGGACAAAGCTCACTATCCCTTCTCTCCTCCCATCTATTGGTTAATTTCATCTGCATGGTTTGTTTCCACATGGTCACAGTCATGTGACATGTGTTTAACTAAGAAGTCAATATTCTTTAGAATGGTGATTACCCAAGAGGCTGAAATCTGAGGGTTGAGATCCCAAGCAAAGCCAGGCAGGAAAGTCTGTGAGACTCTTATCTCCAATAACCACCAAAAAACTAGAAATGGAGCTGGCTCAAGTGGTGGAGCACTAGTCTTGAGCCAAAAAAGCTCAAGGACAGTGCCTAGACCCTGAGTTCAAGCCCCAGTACCACCACCACCACCACCACCACCACCACCACCACCACCACCACCACAGTTCCCAGTTAGTTCTTGGCTAGCTCCAACCCGAAGCCATCAGATGTGATAAATTAAGAAGATGAGACTACAGCAAGTTCAGGAGGTATATATTACAGCAAAGAGACCCTACTCCATAGGGTTCTATTTTGGGGGTTAATTTCCTTCTCTATATTAATGAATACCTCATACCAAAGCGGCCCCCTCCCCTCAAGCAACTCACTCGATCTGTGCCCCGCTTACAAAGGGTAGAATGAAATGGGAGAAAAAAAACAGTTTGCCATGCCAACAAAAGCTATCTGTAGGTGATCGGACCTCTACCCCCTAGCTAAAAGAACCTAGACCTACCTGATTAGTTGACTTCATGAGGATGTAATTCGTGACCTTTCCAAAGGGCAGCCCCAGGTTAATGACGTCATTCTCTGTGCAGCTCCCTTCAGGGAGGTTGCAGATGTGTACCACGCGTCCGGCACCTTTCCGCTGTGCAAACTGATGGGACACGGAACAGTGGCTGGTCAATAATGAGCGGAAAATCAGCATAGACAATATTGATGCAGGAAAGGATCCACTCTCAGATACCACAAAGTATCCATTTCATGCCATCTTTTTTTTTTTTTTTTTTTGGTCAGTCATGGGGTTTGAACTCTGGGCCTGGGCGCTGTCGCTCAGCTCTTCAGCTCAAGGCGAGTGCTCTACCACTTGAGCCACAGCGCCACTTCCAGTTTTCGAGTGGTTTATTGGAGATAAGAGTCTCACGGACTTTCCTGCCCAGGCTGGCTTGGAACTGCGGTCCTCAGATCTCAGCCTCCTGAGTAGCTAGGATTACAGGCGTGAGCCACCGGTGCCCGGCTCATGCCATCTTTTATGAAAAGAATTCACATTTCTAATGAGCAATGACATCCAGGGATGGAGAAGGTGCAGTGAAGACGGCCTGTTTCTAAGCTGCTATGAAGAGTTCTACTTTCTCAATATTAAATAAAGCTTAAAATACGCACAACCCATGAACCCGCCGTTACACTTTTGGAAATCTACCTTACAGAACTAACATAACACCAATACATAAGGACTTGTATATAAAGACAATTATTGTATTACTTCATGGGATTCTAGAGACAGCCTATATTTCTAACAATAATGAAGCACTTGAGTAAACAATGGCTCAAGCATACAATGGAAATCTTCATTAAAAGAAGCATTAAAGCCAGGTACCCCATGGCTCTTGCCTGAAATGCTAGCTACTCAGGAGACTGAGATCTGAAGATTGAGGTTCAAAGCTAGTCTGGATAGGAAAGTCTGTGAGATTCCCATCTTCACTAAAAAAAAAAAAAAAACCAGGAGTAGTGGTGTGGTTCAAGTGGTAGAACTCTAGCATTGAGCAAATCCAGCACTGAACAAAATATTCTAAAGGACAGTGCCCACGCCCTGAGTTCAAGCCCTATTACCAAACAAACAAAAAACATTAAAAGAAGGAAACAAATGTGCTTGTGCTGATTGGGGAGAATATTTAAGACAGACTACTAAGTAAAAATCATGTTGCCAAGTCATTTTGAAACTATAAAATCTATGAGAAAGAGATAAACCAAGCATTATAAAAATTTTGACCTTAATGGAGGTAGGTGGCAGGTACCTTAGAGTTATATTAGCCTCTATAGTTTTGTGTGTTTCAATGTTTTGCTTTAGTAATGAAACATTTTAAAGGCTATGGGCACAGAGGAAAAAAGATGTGGACTATAGTTCTTTTCCTTCCTTCCTTCCTTTCTTCTTTTTCTTTCTTTCTTTCTTTCCTTCTTTCTTTCTCTCTTTCTTTCATTTCGTTGGTCATGGGGCTTGAACTCAGGGTCTGGGTGCTGTCCCTGAGCTCTTTTGCTCAAGACTCGCACTCTATCACTTTGAGCCCCAGCTCCACTTCTAGTTTTTGAGTGGTTAATTGGAGATAAGAGTCTCATGGACTTTCCTACCCAGGCTGGTTTTGAACTGTGGTCCTCAGATCTCAGCCCCCTGAGTAAGTATGATTACAGGCATGATCCAATGGTGCCCAGTGATTATAGTTCTTATCGGTCAGGGATAACTATTTTCACAGTACACAATAGAAAGGGAGCAAAAGGAGACACATTAAATCCATTTTGTATATATGTCATATAGTTTGGCTTATTTTTTGGGGGGGGGGTCCAGTTGTGGGGCCTGAACTCTAGGCCTGGGCGCTGTCCCTCAGCTCTTCAGCTCAATGCTAGCGCTTTAGCGCTTGAGCCACAGGCGCCACTTCTGGCTTTTTTCTTTTTGCTTATGTGGTGCTGAGGAATGGAACCCAGGGCCTCATGCATGCAAGGCAAGCGCTCTACCACTGAGCCACCTTCCCAGCCCCTGGCTTATTATTTTTTAAAATTCCAATAAGTAAAAAAGAGCACGGACAGGTTTGTGGAAACCTAATACATATGCATAGATATTCATACCAAAGACCTATAGTTTAGAGATATAGGTTTGCCATTTTCTTAGTCTTGGAGCCCTGTTTTCCAAATCCAGCATGTTCAACAAATAAAAAAGAAGTTGTTCTGATCAAACTTTGGGGCCTGACCCGTGCTGCCATCCCCACAGGACAGTCTTGAAGAGATTTCTAAAGAACACAATTTGGAAGCCCAGACCAGGGCCTAATCCTGGTCCTGGAGGAAGAAAGTATGGCCACTAGGTCCGGCCAAATGGTCATGGAATCTCCAGTCAGTTCAAGGATTAGTAACCAACTCAATGTGGGAAAGAAAGATGCAATTTTCTGAACCTGAAACTGATTCTAATAACATCATTCTAATAACATAGCCTACTTTTGCATAGTCACCATTTTCTACCCAAAATGACCTATACCATGTAATTATGGTTGATGTGGGTCTCATTCTGCTAAGGCCAAGAAGGGGCTGTCTGAGGTCTCCTCTCTAACAAGGGCTAGCATGTGGGCAACTCTACCATGAAAAGCCCTCATTTGTCTCCTCTGACTGAGAACAACGAGAGTCAAGAAGAATTTGTTTCCATGACTCAGCTCTGAATTGGAGAAATCCTGGGGCCTTTTTCAGGGGTCAAGTACTTTCTGGAAGGTGAATGTAGACCCAGTGTGGCTTGAGCAGAGCCTACAACTGGAACCTCCACAAGCTGAGAGACTTGAGAGTCTGAGTCTCTGTAGGGAAGATGAAGCAGGGATGGAAGAGTGCTATTAAGAGGCTCGAAGCCGGGCACTGGTGGCTCACACCTGTAATCCTATCCTAGGCTATTCAGGAGGCTGAGATCTGAGGATCACAGTTCAAAGCCAGCCCGGGCAGGAAAGTCTGTGAGACTCCAATTCACCAACAGAAAACCAGAAGTAGTGCTGTGGCTCAAAGTGGCAGAGCACTAGCCTTGAGCTGAAGAGCTCAGGGACAGAGCCCAGGCCCAGAGTTCAAGCCCCATGATCAGCCAAAAAAAAAAAAAGAGGCAGGATTTCTATCACCCATGAGGGTGAGCTGTGCACATAAAAACACACAGCTGAGCTGTCAAACGCAGGGCAAAGCAGCTGGCTCTCTGCGTTGACTGCCCAGGCGGGCTGAGACTGGGCAATCTGCCTAGTCTCCTCTTAGTGTGACACGTTTCTATCCCATGTGACTTTGCTTGGTTGGTCTGGGTAACATGTGCTTGGACAACAGAGCAGACACACAGGGCAGTTCTGAGCTGATCCCTCTCCTGGCCTGTCAGTTACCTAGTTACCAGGCACAAGGGCCCACACTTCTCTTATTGTCACCTCTAGCCTAAAAAGATGTCTCAAGGGGCCTTTATCTGAGCACAGCACAATAAACACAGCTGCCGAGTCACCAAAGAAGGAAATTATTCACACAGCAGACTTTGGTACCAGAGGTACTTCAAACTAATAGGTCCAAATCAAGGTTTTCACCCAAAATTTGGACATATATTCCCAGAGCATCTTCCTTCCCCAGATTCTAGTCAGAAATAGAAGCTGACTTTTCTTTCTTTCTTTCTTTTTGTCAGTCATGGGGCTAGAACTCTAGGTGTGGGCATTGTCCCTGAGCTTCTTCAGCTCAAGGTGAGTGCTCTACCACTTGAGCTACAGTGCCATTTCCAGTTTTTTGGTGGTTAACTGTAGATAAGCGTCTAACGGACTTTCCCGATTGGGCTGGCTTTGAACCATGATCCCTCAGATCTCAGCCTCCTAAGTAGTTAGGATTACAGGTGTGAGTCACTGGTACCTGGCAGAAGCTGATTTTTTTTGATTCCCTTGTCACCATTTATGAAGGTAACTGAGAATTTTAGTAATGTTCCACTTTGTTATCTTAATTTGGAGCTTACCAACTGGTGAACTGCAATTGGATTTTAGGTGTACCAAGATACAGATTCCTTGAGACTGGGGGCCAAGTACCTCCAGGCCCACAAGGGGCTTCTCCAGGGGCTCATTTTCTAAGTTAGTCATGCAATAAAAATCTTGGGGCTCACACATCATAAGAATCACTTGATTTGGGTTGGGCCTGGCTTTAGGGTATGTGGTAAATCCTACATTGTTTGAAAGAGAAGTGTTTTTTTAAATTACAGGATGGAATAGGAGAAACCCTAGGTTTCCTTGGCTCAGGCCGAAATTTTTTGAATAGAGACCCGGAAACATAACAAATCAAAGAAAGGTTGGACAAATGGGATTGCATAAAGTTGCAGAGCTTCTGCAGGGCAAATGACATAGCTAGCAAGATCAATAGAAAGCC